TCGGCATATAACGGGCGCCCTAAAATAGAAATGGTTAGCACCCTCTAATATAGCTAGAATTATGCAAGAAAAGCTTACCTGCGTACCAGCGTTCGTTTAGATTATCGACGGCTGCTTGAGCTTCTGTTTCCCATTCAAAACGGGCATAGACGTTTCCTATAAGGTGATCTCCGACATTATCACAAACCTGGATATCGGCGTCAACACAACTGTACCAACAAAGGGATGGATCTGGCTACTTACGTGCAACTCGAGCAAATGTCCAAACTTGGCAAGTTCACTGTACATGGGAAATAGTCGTTAACATTTCTACTTCGTGCTTGGCCACTGAGAAGGGCTACTCACCAGTATAAGTCTTCGTACACGGCATCAAACCCGTCCTGTAGCTCCTTATCACTAAGCTTGCAGCTTGGATCGTTGGCTGGGTTATGATAAACGTTGGGAAGAAGAATGGTTTGACTAAAGGGAGGTCGGATATGTTTTCGTGAGCAACGATCTCCGTGGCGGCGGAGACGAGGATTTCAGAGATCGCAGGAGGTGATATATCAGGCATTGATGGACACAAGCTTGGGTCTTTGGCTGAGGCGAGTGGGCTGGTGTGTTTCTAATCCCCTCTCCATCCTCCCTTCTCACGTCTCATTGGGCCGAGCCTTTGCTTAAGAAAATGTTTCTATAGTGTCATTCTAATGGAACCCCTGTTTGCTTCTTACTTGTTCGCTACTAAATTCTTGAGAATCGGACCAATCTTGGGACAAGCTGATGATGTACGTCAATACCGAAGCACTGCCCCCTTATTGCATAACGTTAAAACTCATTTGCGCAAATAGGCTCGGGGACGGCTACATGTACTCGCCCGTCCTTCTGCGGGTCTCGGCATCCCGTAACCTAATCGCATCATCGGCCATAAAAGCTGCGAGTGACCCCAGTCTTCTCGTGTTTGACCCCATCTTTCTTGAACCCGACTTCATCCTCTCCTTATCCTCTTCACTTTTGTTTGATTCGGGTTTATTGTCAGCATGAAGGGCTTTTCGCCGGTCACGGTCTCGTTCTTTTTGCTGTCTTGGCTCGTGGCCATCATCACGGCCAGAGTCGATGGTCCCTTCTTCCTCTATACCAAGAGCTCGGACCCCGCGTATGTCTCTCAATTGCCCTTATTTTCCTTGTAATCTGATCTTGTTGACCTGCAGCTGGAACTTGCGTTTCATCAATGTCGCTGCACGCAATGCATATCTTGCCATTAATGATGCCGTGTCTTCACCCGCAAACATCCCCCAGTGCCAACAAGAACTTTTTCATCAACACTACTGCGACGTGAGTAGTCATTATTCGTATACAGATCCTGCTTACTAATACCCCGGCCGACTCTAGTCTGACTCCAGATGCACCTTACGGCCAGCTGGTATGGGGAGCACAAGTACGTCTCCATCAGTAGTCTCTCATACATCCACTCATATCACCAGAGCTACTATGCCAATCTGTTCGCGCGGGTCGACATCGTAGATACATCCTCTCCCATCCAGCCTATCTTCCACGATATGAGCTATGCTCTCCAAGGCTATTCGAGCCGCTGGAACTTTACGGCCAATAAACAGCTACTTTTAGACGGCAAAGGCGACCGCTTCTATGCTACCGTTCTCCATACAGATAGATACAACTATCCAACTGTTCACTGGCTGTTTGGTAGCAACACTCAGAGCATCAACGGCAGCCCCATCACCATCTGGAGGTACCCTTGAGAGTGAAGTTGAACTACATGTTCGCTATGCCCACAGGACTTTAGTAGCGCGACGTCATGGTCGCGTGACTAACTATGCGGACACCTCTTTGGACAATTCATTTTCTTGCCTTGCTCGTTTTCTTGTTTCGTAACTCATTCAAAATTCAATGGACACAAATTTTCTTGATTATTGGACGAAAACTAAGTTTTGTTTGCCATTACAAGCTAAAGTATTCTTTGTACTAATCTCTGAACCTTTCTCGATTGGCAGCATGATTCTGTCAGAAAGATCATATCCCAAATCGATAAGGTAGGCTTCAATATTCAACTGTGATGCCTGGACTTCATCTCCGTGATACTGTCTAGCACTTGATTCGCTTATTCCCAGATTTCGGCCAGCGTAAACCTACAAGAGAGTCTATTGTACCCTGAACGAATACCTTAAATACAAAGTTGTTGCTATGTGATAAATTGCGATATACTGCAGTCCGTGCTTTATCTCCCAAG